ATATTTAATAAATTATTATATGTATATTACTCATAGTTAATAAGAATTATTACGTGTTATATATTGTTTATCTTATGTTGAATCAATTATTATAAATGATTCAAAATTGTATTTTTGATAGCCTTTGTCTATATTCGTTATATTAAAAAATATTGCAACAAACCCACGCCAAGGCTTTTCATTATTGAACGCCTTGGTAAAACAGATCGCTTCAACTTTAAACATCTACAGAGTGATCTAATTAGGACGCTGCTACGTTGTATAATTTGAGATTAAACGACTTACCTGTAAGGAAGTTCAATCCTCAATTATACTAGTAGCTGCGTCCTAATTAGATCACGTCCCGCCTTCCCCGGGAAACACCTTAATAACACCCCATCAAGTACTTGGCGATCTGTCATTCTAACTTTGCTAGAAAATAATGAGTTGGACGATAGCCGTTGGCCACGCCGTCACCTGTGGGAGTCGGTGACAGTGTATTGTAGGTATACAGGGAGATTTTGCTTCGAACATAGCGCATTTTTGGTATAGTTGGAAACAATACTACAGAGTGATCTAATTAGGACGCAGCTACTAGTATAATTGAGGATTGAACTTCCTTACAGGTAAGTCGTTTAATCTCAAAATTTGGCCTACTACATATTTGCTTTATGTTAACATAATTATTGGATGAATATATCTGTATGCCCTATAGATTTTTATAGCTCATGAAATTTAAACATTGAAAATTTGAATGTTTGTCAATAGAAAAATGGAACACCACATGCAAATTTAGATTCGTGTCTTTCCTGATTTGAAATATATATACAAGGTGTCTCTAGAGGCGAAACTCACATGTTTACATTAGATATTATGTATTATGTATTATTGCTGAGATATTATAACATACAGGGTATGTAACGACGAGCTTACACTATCTCCATATCGAGAATCTCTCGGGATAAATCCATAAAAATATGCATGTATACCGGGTGTCCCATTTTAATCTTTATTTGGAAATTTCTCGAAATGTATGCAGCTGACAAAAAAAATTGCCGAATAAAAGTTGTATGGTTTGGAGGGGGACGTCTGGTTATAAAACAAGTTTCACCCCCTGACCCCCAGGGGAGTGGGAAATTGAGGTAACATTGAAATCTTTAATGGAAACCCCTATTTTTTATTGCTGATTCTGGAAGAGCATTAAAAACTATGAAGCTTTTATTCAGGAACTTCTTTTCTATTTTCACAAGATGGCGCTGCGATCTTGAAAAACAATATTTTACTATTTAGTTTGTAGTTGGCCACCCAGATCACCCGACTTGACTTCCCCAGACTTCTTTCTGTGGGGTTACATCAAAAACATTGTGTTTCGCGAACCCCCAACCACACGCGAGAATATGAAAGATAACGCCTGCTATGTTGGAAGCGACAATGCGGGATTTTGAAAAACGAATGAACTTGTGTACCTATTCAAGAAAATGGAGGTCATTTCGAACACTTGATAAAGTAGTCAATCTCACTTAAAACCAGCTCTAGTCTGACCTAAATGATACCTTAATTGCTGAAACATGCATATTTTTCTCTTTTCTATGTAGAGGTGTCAAGGTAAGTAAGTTCGTTTAGCGTTAATTTGTCGTGTGAATATCACCCCAATGGCGTTTGTCTAGGAAAATATCACACCCTACACTCTTCCTCGTCTTCAGGAGGTTGAAATGTGTAAATAGTGGAATATTGTTTTTTACGATCGCAGCGCCATCTTGTGAAAATAAAAAAGAAGTTCCCGAATAAAAGCTTCATAGTTTTTAATGCTCTTCCAGAATCTGCAATAAAAAATAGGGGTTTCCATTAAAGATTTCAATGTTACCTCCATTTCTTACTCCCCTGGGGGTCAGGGGGTGAAACTTGTTTTATAACCAGACGCCCCCCTCCAAACCATACAACTTTTATTCGTCAATTTTTTTTGTCAGATGCATACATTTCGAGAAATTTCCAAATAAAGATTAAAATGGGACACCCGGTATATGCATTCAAATTACATATTATAACATATTTGTTCAGGTCGGAAGGTCCCTCGTGCTGTCTTTTTGGACCTTTTTTGGAAATACCTGTATTATGTATTATGTGTTTATCACAAAGTATAATTAAGAAGAACTACAATTATTAGTATAATAAAGAACAGTGCCTCAACTGTAGACACAGCCTCAGTAGTTTTTTACGCACAGTAAGCACATCGCACAGTTTTTGTTTATTTCGCCAGTATAGGTATGTCATGATCGCGTAATCGCCGTCAATAGCAGATGACATAACTGTCAAGAATTATAATTCAGGTTCGTCCAAACTTTTTTTATGTACTATATGGCAGTAGGTAAAGTATAGTACGTAGTGCGTAACTTTTCCATTCGTGCGTAATAAGCTTCTTACAACACATATTACGTAATATACTATTACAATAACGGCGACGCTAATACATGCAATGTGCTAGCTATGATGTCTTTCAGAATCTCAAAGCCTTTCAACAGTTATTAATGTAATATTGATAACAAATGAGAATCGGATAAAAATTTGAATCTACATTTTTTTTTCCTATAGAATTATAGATGCAATAGTTTCCCAGACTTCATCCTCCCTACCAACCCTGTATATTTTTATATTACCTACATAATAATAATAATAATAATAATGATAGTAATCTTTATTGGTCCTTTTGATCACTCATATGATATAGGATACGTCACAGTATTGTATACATAAGTAACAACAAATAACAACATCAAAAACAAAAAAGAGTATAAGAGGACAAGGGCACAATATAATTACATGAACATAACATAAATGTATATGTATATGAATGGTCAATAATAGAACAATACTAATTAGTACTATACATGATGATCACATCTTGAGATATGCATCCAATGAATAAAAGCAATTTTCAATTAGGAATTTTTTAAGGGCTGTGATAAACTTCCTGCTTTCATTAGTATTCTTTATTTCTTGTGGCAATTTGTTGTAAATCATCAAACCCATATATGCAGGTGAGTTTTGTGATACCCTGTATTTATAATGTGGAATATGAAAATTTTCTTTCTGTCGTGTATTCGCGTTATGAATGTTTTTATCCAGAGGAAATTTAGTTTTGTTCTTAAAAATGTAGTTGCATAATACAAAAATATATAAAGAAAATATTGTCAGAACATTATCAATACTTAACAAACAATTCTCTACAAGAGTTGGTTGAAGGAACGCCTGCAACTACTCTCAATATTCTTTTTTGCAAGATGAAAATATCATGAGTATAAGTTGGGTTGCCCCAATGAGGGTTATAGGGTTCAGGGTTCCAAAGTTAAATAATGTTTGCACTATCATACTACATACTATTTGTATGCCTACTTTTTTCATTTCTATGTAAGTACTAAGTAATTCTTGCATCTATATCCTAAGTCAACACTGATTTTTCTAAAACTATGATATTTTCTATTGGCTGATGATGGGCTTATATAAGCCCGAAACATGTTCCTTTAAGATTGATCTTTGAACATGCGGTAAGTTACGATACGAGCCGAAGGCGAGTGTCGTTAACCGTGTGCGTATTAGCCATTACATGATCGTTGCTAGTCAATAAAGACATAGCCACCTCTGCTGTAATTAACCAGAATGCACTGTTCTGATCAGAGATCCGAAGGAGTGGTACTGGAATCTAGTAGGTATTTATCAATAACGACTTGTCATATTATGATGTCATGGTCATGGCTAAGAATTTAAAATGAGAGTTTTCATAGTGACAATAGGTCCATATTTCGGTTTCACAGAACTAAAATGATGGAACTATATTGCTAGTGGTGCAATAAAAATTAATATAAACCTTGGTAGTAAAGAATATTATTATCACGGGACCTTATCAATCAATCAATCAATCAAATAAGCTTTATTGTCCAAAGTTTTGACAAAGCATGTTACAATTTAACAATAATTATTCATAATGATATTCATAATTCGTCATATAGAATAGTTATGCTTTTATTAATAACATAAATGATTCTTTACTACCTTGGTATATAAATAACTATTTTCTAGAACGAATAAATACAAAATCGCCTGTTCGTTTGACGCGTTGTGATTGGATATCAATAGGCCTTTTCATCTAGATATATTTTTAAGACGCATGCGCTCGTTTTTAGATCCAAGAATTTATTGGGTAATACGAAGGTGAAGTCTCATTGGCTATAGTTCCAACACAAAATGCTGATTGGCCATTTCGGATATGGCGGGTATTATTGACGTTCTGTCAAATTTCAACAGTGACAACCACCATGGGCATTCGTCATTGTGAAACAACAATAACAACATAGTATTTTTGTTTATACATTCCTCGTGTGCATTAATGGTATCATAATAATTTAATTCCAAAAAACGTTACTTATTTGTTACTGAGGAGTGTGGTACTGTGGTGTAAGTGTTTCGGTGAAAATGGCCGCCACTGTCGTTGGATGCGAGATGTAAACAGAGATAGTCATTAGTCATCTAAATGAAAAGGCCTATTCGCGATAGAGAATAAACATACGCCACCTATCGTAGTTCTTAAAAGCTGTCAAAGCGGCATGTTTACTTTGTTTTCATTGGTTCACATTTGTTTTCAGTTTGTGCTTATTGGTCATATCATCAAAACAAACCGCTCAGAAGTGTTCAAGTTGCTACCGTCAGGTGGGGTGACGTGTTATTTTCTATCGCGAATTGAAATTAAATGTCAAACAACTCAGGCAAGTAAGATAGGAACGTAGACCCACTTGATTATTCTCAAATACGTGTTTCTATAAGCCAAAAATTCGTATCATAATGAAAAATACGTGTTTTCATTGGTCAAAATCTGTATCATGATGAAAATTCGTGTTGAAATGAAAAATAATGATAAATCGGTAGCAGATATTTAATTCGTGTTTTGTAATACGGGAGTAGAAAAAGTTGATTTACAGTATCAATTTTAGCTCATGAGAATCAACAGCAATTTTGTTTTTTTTTAACAGACAGAAACTAACATCTCCTAAGTGGAACAGATTTCGAGGCATACGACTGAGGTGGAAAGATAAAATACGACTGAATAATGTAATTTGGAGATGTTGGCATTTACAGTGTAAGTAGACAAATCTTCAAATATTTTTCATATTATACTAAATTGGTGCTCTATAGAAGATATTGAATTAGGAAAAGTTGAATTTGATTCCATGTGAATATTATTCACTATTTTATGTCATGAAATCACTGGTCATATGAAATAATTGAATTAAAGTTGATTAGTGATTACATTGTAAGTAGACGAATATTCATATTAAACTAAATTGATGCTTCAGAGAAGAAATCGAATTTGGAGAAGTTGAATTTGATTACATGTAAATAGATTGGATCGTATTTCATGTCAATTCTATTGACAATTTGTGGTATAAAATTTGTATCAGAAAAGTATACAGAAATTCAAAATGAAATAATATACAAGATGTGCTATTTGAGAATCAACATTTGGTACCACTTCCGGTTTAATGAGATTATATAGTTTCGCCACGGGATTATATTTTGCGAGTACATACTTCCAAATTGAACTTAAAAAAAGTAGGGGATTACCATGATCATGTACCACTCGGTATATATCATATCCTTATTCATAGACCAGTGAGAAAATTGATGTTTTTCAACTAATGTTTGGCTAAAAATGAATTTATTCAGTATTTTACGAAAACACTCAATTTAACGGACGGACTGTATAGAAACCAAAAATTGAATAATATATAGGATGTTCCGTTTGCAAAAATTAACGCGGACGTCACAACTCAAACGTGGATCACCCTGTATATTCAATTCTAGAAAATGTGGAAAATTTGAAATAAAAATCGACCTGTTTCAGGAGATCTCTTAGAAATGGATAGTTAGGCTAAAAATGAATTCATTCAGTACTTCACGATGTGAAAGATCTTTAGGTCCCCTTTTACATGATTCAAAATGATAACCCCATGGATAGATATGTATGTCTGGAATACATTCTACTATGAATTTAATGAAATGAATTAATTAAACTTATTGCTGTGATATCAAACAGAACACAACTAAATGTAAATAACTTCACAAATGATAAGATTTCCACGAAATCCTTAATCTTTCGCTAACACAGTAGCTTCTTCAGGTGAAATACTTGTACCCGGTGAACAACCAAGAACGGCTGTCATATCTATCATTCTTCCAACTTTGATAGTTGATTTTTTGAATTGACGTCAAAAGGGTTGATTATGAGAAATCCACTGAGCCCTTTACTTGCTAAAATCTTCATGGACAACTTGGAGCGAATAATACATAAACATTCATTAATAAAACAATGTTTGTATTGATATAGATACGTAGCTGACGTTATAGTATGCTTTGAAGGAACCAATAGACAATTAGACACTTTCCATCAATATATAAATACTATTCATCCAAACATTAAATTCACAATAGAAATAGAGACTGAAATCAATCAATTTCTTAGATTTGACAATAAGTAAAATTAACGATAAACATGATTTTTCAATTTTCCATAAACCTTCCCACACTGATATCACTATTCATAATAATTCAACACACCCTTATCAACATAAAATCGCAGCATATAATAGTATGATACACAGGCTAGTGAATGTCCCTCTTTCGGAAGTAAATTTCAATAGAGAACTCAATATCATAAACCAGATTGCAGTCAACAACGGATACAACGTTAATTTGATAGACAGTATTCTTTCTAAAAACTTCATCATAAAGCTATTCAAGAAATTTATCCTACCATCAAGAATAATAATCAAAATTATAGAACTTTAACCTATTTCGGATCATCAACTGAGAAATTAGCTTCATTTCTACATAAACAGGACTTGAAAGTGGCATATAGAACAAATAACACGTTGGGACGGTTTATCAAGAATAATAAAGACAAAACTTCTAAATTCGAAAAATCAAGGGTATTCAAACTCAACTGTGGATCTTGTCCTAAGGTATATATCGGTCAGACAGGTCATACGTTTAATCAGCGCATTCATGAACATAATATGAATTTTATCCTTCAGGTTGGGAAAGTAAGATATGTAAAATTTAAGCAAGCCAACGTTAGTTTAGTTCATTGTACCAGTATATCACCTGACGAAGCTACTGTGTTAGCGAAACATGTCGTGTCTTTGAGAATTTTGTGGAAATCTTATCGTTTGTGAAGTTTTTACATTTGATAGTTATAATATCTTCCTTTGGCGAAAAGCTCGTGTAATGATGATATCTCAAACTTGTATCATTATTCGTTGTAGAGATATGGCCGACAGCCGTCCTTAGTTGTTCATCCTGTACAATTAACTACACTCACATTGGTTTGCCTAACTTTTATATCTTACTCTAATAAAACAAATCAAACAGCAATGCATTATTGAGTTCTAGTTGATCGCTAAGTAATGTTTTTGAGTTTGTTGTTTTCTAATGATTCGAATTATTTCTTTATTTTCTAGGTGTAGAATTTCGAAATTATCATCAAAACTATAGTTTTCTCCTAATATATCGTATGTTCATGAATGCGCTGATTAAACGTTCGATCTGTTTGACCAATAGGTACCTTAGGACAAGAGCCAAAGTTGATTTTTCGAATTCAGAAGTTTTGTCTTTAATGTGATTAAGAATTTTGTGAAAATCTTATCATTTGCGAAGTTATTTACATTTTTACTATGGATTTCGTAACGGCCGAGTCAATTAAAAAAATAAAAATAACTAAATTTTTGATACCATACAGAACATTGAACTACATCTGTTGGATATCTAAGATAAGCATTATCTCTCTCATTAAAGAAGTAAAATGGAAGAACATATATACGAGTATATTTATTTAAAAATGAGCCTGTTTTTATCTAATTCATAATTTGTTCCTCGTTTGAACTTTTCTAGTTATCAAAAAAGAGAATACGCTGGTGTGCCAATTCGCTTCTCCATTAGATGTGGACACTCACAATAAACCTGAGGTGAGTGAATATGAAATATTACAAAAATATTTAGTCTGAGAGCCAGTGGGGGGTCGACCTTCACCCATCTGATAACCAAATGACACCTATTTTTTATGTAATATTTTCGATTTATAAACAGGCCTATTATAACTTGCCTATCGAAAAGTGTTCATGGCTATTTTGAATTAATTTCATTTTGATGATTTTTTCTGTGACAGGAAAAAAGTTTGACATTCTATATCTGTTGACAGGTTATAAAATGTCACTTTTCGTGTCGGTCGGTCGACCACACTTTATATCAACATTTACATCAGAAAGTATCATCAGACTAAATAAGACCTAAAATACATTATGAATGTTAAGGAAAACATGTATATGGTGTCAGAATATAACAAACCTATTGTGGGTCAGGATAAACAACAGTACCATTGAAATTACAATTATTAATTATTAGGTTACTCATTGTAACTTCAATGGTACTATTCGTTTTTCCTGACCCATAACAGGTTTGTTTTATTCTAATTCCATATACACGTATTTCTCAACATTCATAATGTATTTTAGGTCTCATTTAGTCTGATGATGGCCGTTGTGCCGAAACCGGTTACTTACTAATGTAATTTTTGATATAAAGGGTGGTCGACCAACTTGCAGTTTTTTCTATGGGACCACTTCGAGAATGGGCGTGTACACCTTGGTAGAACTTTTAACTCAAACCATGTTTATAATGATCCTTTCATACATAAATAATGATTGACGACATAATTCGATCGAAAATATTACTGGAATGTTCAATTTTCGGACATAAATAATAGTACCATCTGAAAACGGACCCTCTTATGACGTAGAAACCTCATCTCGCCATAGTTAAAAGAAAATACCAAACGCCGGACGGAGACTGTGGCAACTGGTATATTAATTCTTTCAACTGTGATCTCGCGCTAATTCACTCTGCCAGAAATCATGTATCATTCATCTTTGTCTGGAATAGTCCTGTTTCAGTATTAGGGTTTTGACTTCACATCATCGCCTCGTTTTCAGAGGTCCGAAAAATCGGAGGTTTCAATAATTTTTTATAAATCGTAGGGAGCTCACAGCGATAAACGGTTTGCGGTGGTGAGCTAGTTTGGGTGAGTTCTATCGAATTATGGAATAAAAATTTTTTGTGATATAAGCCCATTGATGATTTCCATAGTTTAATTCTTACATTGACGGAGAAGAAAAATCTCAGGAAGAGGCCAAATAACAGGAAAAGAAGAAGTATATTTATCACTTCCCCAAATCGGACCTAACGTTTCAGTGGTGGACAAAAAATAATGTAAGCCTTCATTTGCGCCACATTCTGCGTCAAATGGTCTATTGGAAATAGTCATGAACACTTTTCCATAGGCAAACTATCATAGGCGTGTTTATAAATAAAAAATATTTCATAAAAAATGGGTCTCATCTGGTTATCAGATGGGTGAAGGTCCACCTCCCTCGGTCTCCCCTACTTATTGGTTTAGGATTTTTTTTCCTGAAGTCGAATATACACATAGTTAAAAAAACAGGTATTATCCATTGTTGTAGAGATCAAAAAGAAATTGAAATCTTATTCTTGGTCTATTAGCCATTTGCCCTTTTCAAGAATTACCCTGTGCGAACTTTTGGCGAACCAAATTCAATTGAAATCATTGCGGTAGCTATGTTATCGAGATTTCCTGATGTGTCTATTATCGGAAGATATCCAAAAAAGTATACGAATAGCGTAGATTAAATGAATCCCAGATAGCATATTATCATAGTAGAGAACCAGTGGGGAATGAGGATTTTCCTGCGAGGAACAAATGCTTTTAATCTAGTCACCTTGTAGATATCGAGATAAATAAAAAACAATTGTAAGAATATATTATTTAATTTCGATGAATTGAAGCAATATCAAATAGTGTTTCTTTAGATTCTCTCGGATTTTGTCTCCTCGTTTCTATAAATAAAAATCTGACTATTATTATATTGTAACAGCAAACCAGACGATTTAACCCAAAATGTCCCTATGTCTGGAAATTTCACTATTTGAGACCCTAAAAGAAAATTACAAAGAATAGTCAGTGTCACCTTGTCTAGAAAATTATTTGAAGAACAGGAATATGGAGATTTCGAAAAAATATCAAATTTCCACTCAGCTTTTGACATTTCGGGAACGAATCTACTCCTGTTTTCAATATAAGCAATAGCATTGCTTCATGTTCATAACATTGTAGTCACTCCTTAAATTTGAATATAAAAATTATAAATTCAAGATCAATTAATGAAAATATCCTGTATAACTTGTTTGTGTCAACGTCTATCAATGAAAGGTGTCAATAGAAGAATCCGATGACAATTTATCAAACATATTTTCCATTCCTATGTTGAAAACAGGAGCATATTCGTTCTCAAAACGTCAAAAGCTAAGCCGACATTCAATTTTTTTTATGTATCTATATTCCTCCTCGTACATTTTATAACACAAAGTGTCACAAGTTGATTATCGAATGACTTTTTCTTTTAAACTCTCTTATAGTGAAATTTTCAAACGAGGAGAAAAAATCCCAAAAAATCTAAAGAAATTAATATGCAACTTCCTCGACCAACCTACAGACAGGATTTATAAAAATAAATAGAATAGAATATAACGCATAGTGTGCAACTCTTATTTTATTTTGTACTATTTTTAATACACTCCTTTACCCTTCAATTCGGCATTTTATAAGCCTTTGCGATTTTCAGAGAGCACAAAAAGTTGATTTCCTAGTATTTTTGAGTAAAATTATATTCTCAATGAATTTCCTAGCTTTTTTGATGATAAACAAAAGTCAGGTTTCTATTTCTAACTGATTTTGAGTACTGTCTATTATTGTTGTGCTTGTGTTTTGCAGAGTGTGGTAAATATGAACTCATGCAAATGCCTTAGCAGCAAGACGAGTTGACATTTGGGCTGTACGATATTGAAAATTTGATATCGATATCGCTGTGTGCTTTGGTATCTATATAATATCATAAACAATATCGATATATCGATATAATTCTCTGATGATATCATTATTCGATATATCGATATACATTAATACATTGATAATATGATATATATCGATTTTCTTTGCACGGCCCTAGTTGAAATTCAACATAGAGAACTGTGAAGTCTGTTCATTAGCTCAATTTACACATACTGCGTAAAGTTAAGTTTGGTTAGATCATCAGTTGTACAATATTGACAACGTGATGCTAGTTGTCGTAGAAATACGCATTGAACCCCTAGCTAGATGCTTGTAATGGATTCTGATATGAACATACCATTTGTAGTCCTTTTTCCTACAATTATAAATATTTTGTTGATTTAATTTCGCTGTAAATTCAAAATCATTGTCCATTTTGCAACCAAGTTGTTTATTTTTATGTGAACATTCATTTTATATTGTTATTGTGCACATTATCAACATAATTACTTCTCATCCTTGGATAATGCACCGAAATGTTTATCAGAAACAGAAGTAATTTTAAAATTGTATAATAATAACAAACGGACACCTGTTACATTCTCCATATATCTCTGATGCAATGATATCTGCGTCAACCAACCAAAGCCTTCGATTGCAACAGATTCGGCCTGTGAATGATGTCAGAAAAGATCTAAGCATGGGACAAGGATAACTTCGTACCATTTCATGGTGCGAAAACATGAGAAACATTATTTTCAAGAAAGTTAGCCTTCATATCCACGGACGAATTCAACTCTACCCGAAACGGTCCATAGACAGGCTTTTAGATCAATCACAACGTTAAAATAAGACAAGATCAATCAGCACATCCATTCATTGTCAACCTTGAGATATGTCGAACAACACTTTACAAACACTGGTTCGTCTGTAGAACGGCAAAGCTTCGGAGTTCTTTGCCTATGGAAGTATTCCCAGGAACTTATAACCTCCAAAAGTAAAGCAATTTTGTCTTCGTTTAATCGAATTGTCTGGTATGATATATACAGGCCTGCATGCTCCGTGGGTGACGTCACTTAGTCAGGCCTAACCAGCGGCTCGAAACGACAAGCGCTTATAGCGCTATAAGGCGACCGCGTATTTCGATTTCAGTTTGAGATCATTATTGAGTCGATTTTGCTTTTTTTTTTGAAGGGCTTCCGGTTGAAAGAGGATGCCAGCCGTCAACTGAGACCTTCTTCGCATCCCATTCGATTTTATTATGGAAAAACGAAGTTTCAAAGCAAAAACCAGAATAAAACACAAATACCCACCTACAGCAACCCATTCGAATTAAATATATTGGCAAAAATTGTAGTGATTCAATCTCATTAGAGGTAAACTTCACACCTACTTATACAGGGCCCGCAGAACATAAACTTATCATGAGATTGATCGAAAGAAAATTGGGGAAAATATATTTTAGTTTGATAGACATGCCGTTTGTTATACCTAATTACCTATATTTATCTTGGAGAATTCCTATTACCTAAAAAATTAGCCAGTGAGTGTTTTCAATTTCCTGTTGTTGGATTTTTTACCCAATTGGTCGTTAGACTTGAAACAGTAATTTTTAAGTAGAGTGTTTGTAGTACATGTTAATATAATAGTTGTAATTCGATCATTGGAATGAATTCTGCATTCATTGCCACGAGGCAAATGACCGTTTTCAGAAAGAAATTTGAGAATGTATCGAGTCAGAAACCAAAGAGTCCAATGCATTCGAAATATGTTTCAAAACCCTCTCTTTCTGATTATCAAGACATTTTCCCGAATTATGTATCTCGTTTTTATCTATTTCAATTAGTAATTCCTTGATTTGATTGATATTATTAGAGATAAAAGGTGTTTTCAGATTGGCTTTTAGAGATGTTTGTATCGCTAGGTCATACAAAAATGATTCCACATTCGAAACAAAATCAATCACAACCGAATATGTAATTACGGGCCCTGGAGAATAAGACAATTTGAATAATGTAACTTTTTGCAAATCGATAATTTTGAACCACTTTTCGGGCAACTGAA